GGGGGGTGCGGACATACCTGCACGGGTTACAGGTCTTAGTTTGTTTTTCCATGGGAGGGGGGTGGGGGGTGCGGACATACCTGCACGGGTTACAGGTGACAGTTACAAGAATGAGGAAAATTAACCATACCGCATGACATTCAAGGATAGATGTAGACCCATCGGGCAGGTATAATCATTCCGAGGTTGGGTAGGGCGTTTCTACCTAAAAACTATCAGGATAAATTATGGAGGTATTATACAACAGTACCCTGAAAGTTGAGGGGAAGCAAAAGATCGTTACCTTAACAATAACGTGGCGCTTGCAACAAAAATTTCAAAAACAACTTTTTGCAAAGTTGAACAAGAATTTGTTGAAGTTTAAAGACACCATGACACCATAAGAGTACGGCCATTGAGCAGTGGTAACAACCTTCCTTTAAAGTTACATGAATAAATCACAAGAAATGATTCAAACTGCGGAAAGAAAAAAGAGGCAAAATAAAAAATAAAATTAAAAAAACACATCAAGACCCCTGGAAGCTACTGAAACCTAAGACTCAAGTCAAATGGAACAAATAATTAATCAAAAAAATTGAATGATATCATGTTCTGGATGTTAAACACGTCAGTCTATGAACAATTCCATAAATAAGGTTGGGAAGGCGATTGCGCAAGTTGGCAACACAATCACAATGTACTGCTGCTCTCACTGGCAGAAATAGAAGGTGTTTCAGTCTTGACATGATGCATACCCCTGCCACCTATATCAAGACCCTGAAAACGACCAAGGGGATCCTGTTGCATTGTATCTGGGAGAGCCTGCCCATGGCCTGCAAGTAAACGGCGATGAGGAGTCAACAAGCTGTCCTGGAGGGAATGAAACTGCTGCATCTGTATGTTCTGGGATTCGCTTGGCCCTGACTGTGTCTGATGGGAAAAGAATGCTGATTGATTATATGGAATGTGCTGCATCCCCAAATTGTATGCATCTGAAGAGGACATTTCCCCTGTAGCCATTTTAAGTCTTTCCACTTCCTGCTTCAGTGCTTCATTCAGAGCTGTAATATAGGATCAACAAAACAAATACACGCAGCATTAATAAATTTTCTCGCCATAAACGTGAACTGGAATTGTTATTCTCTCAATTAAGCGGGGACAAAACAAACATTATGACTTTCTATTTGTAGATTAGAAAAGTAACAGTAGATTCAGTTTTGCTATGTATCCTGTCCATAAGAGGTGGAAATAAGCAGCTGAGAATTTCAAGATGATGTGAAAATGACTGATAAAAAAAAATTTCTGGAAGCCAATGGAGAAGACAGAGAAAAGATAAACATACCATCACGTAACTGAGCTTGTTGTGCCATAGCTTGCAAACGGATCTTAAGCTCTGTGTTCTCATTAGTAAACTGGGTTGTATCCCGCTGCAGATGGAGAGAACAATCAGATGTGAAGTATCGATTATTGTGAGGGAGATAAATGAAATTCAGTAACCAAAATGTTGAAACATCTCCCGTTAATTTGAGGCATGCACTTTTTTCCCCGGGAATATGCTTCCCTCACTCCCCTACGAAAGAAAGAGTATTTAAGGGCATATTACGTGCAAAATCCACTTCAGAAATTTTGCCATGCATGGAATACTTAGAGGAAAGGACTCGCTTACTTTGTTAGACATCTAGCTGAGAAAAGGTATTATCATTTAAATGCAGGAAGTAATCCCTAGGTTTGTCTAAACACAGTTAATTTTCAGACAAAATGAATGATCACAACGTTTCCATGGTCAAATTCAACCATCAAGTTTCTATTTATTTAAACAGACACAGCCGTAGCTGAAAAAAAATGGCTGTTATAGAATGGTGTGCAGACCAATAATTCTCATAGTTAATGGAATACAATGCAATCTGTGAGCACACCTATGAATTTTAGAACAGATTTCGAAGTTCTCGAAAAGGAAGAATTACCTGGAAAAGGGTTAATTGTGCAGAAAGAGTGGTTGCTTCTGTTTGAAGGGTCTGAACCTTTCTCTCAAGTTCAGTTATGTAACGGGCCTTCCTCTCTTTCGAGCGAGAAGCAGACTGCCGATTAGCCAAAATCCTGTATAACATTCTCAAATCAGAAACATAACGTGGCACTGCATGCGTCAGACATGGTGGTATATTGACTTAAATATTGATACAGGCAGAGCATACTTAGACGCATCAGAGTGCTGGAGATTACAACAGCAACTACTACGCCTCGATCCCAAACAAGTCGAGGTCAGCTATATGAATCCTCACGGACCATGTTCCCCATTTAAATTCATCTCAGGCCAACATTATATGGACAAAATAAAAATGAAAAATACTAGAAGTCCTCTATATTTCCTATTGGCACACGAATCTCTAATTAAGGCTAAAAAACTCCTAGAAGGCATTGGACATAGAGTAAATGCATCAGAGTGTTGGAGAGTCTTGTTGTAAAATAGAAACATATTTTCCATTTGGAGGTGTCTATGTTTCTTAGACAAGAGGCAGATTAGTTGTTTTAAGAAGCTACACAGTTTCCTGACAAAACATGCTCCGAAATACTAGTGCATAAATTGCCTGACAAATTAAAGCTACTTCAATTCTAGTATTTAGCACAAGTTCTTGAACATAAGTATCCAATATAACTTCCATAACTTACTACGATGAAACCAGTCTCACATTATCAGGGCATCATCAATGTGAAACAGAGCGCTTCGCTTTACAATATGTCATTATCCGGTGTGATATGTAAAAAGGCTTCAGTATTAATACCACACAAGCAGCTTCTACACTTGATATTTGTAAGTAAATTTACATATATTTTAGCTCTTGGCAAATCGGAATCAACACAAGCAATTTGTCAACTGCGTTCTTACTTTTCCATTAATGGCATCAAGTTAAATAATCTCCTTCTGAACAGCTATCCTAAAATCACCACAAATCATAAAAGTCAACATTGGAATATACCGAGTTTAGAGCCTTTCAAGAAAGCAGACAAAATGCTACATAGTGTGGTCATTTCTATTGGTTTCCAAAGTCACAAAGTGAGGATTATATCACATGTCCAGGACCATTGTTTAGCCTCAGATGTAAGCTATACAAGCTTTAAGATATGGTACAGAATTATAAGACTCTGAATCATGTGATACTAGATGGACGAGCCAAACTTTTGGAGCACAACAAAATTAAGGTGAATGCAAAACTAGATCAGGCAAGCAAATTTGGTATGGAATAGCACACCCCCTGCTGATAAAGGCCCATGAGTTAAGCCAAAGGAATCTTCCGTTTGGACTTTCTTGGTCCTAATAGATGGACATCTTAGAAGCCAAAATTTATAGGGAGCAAATCAAATGAATTTGGACCTGGCATTATTTCAATTAAACTTGGACATGGCATTACTTCACAAAAGAATGTCCCCCCAAGTGTAAACGTCAAAATGGACCTTGCTAAAACTATGTTGATTTTACGGGAACAGAGACCTTTTTGATGGACCAAACAACAATGATAATTAGCTCGTGCGATACTTCAGTAGTGCTAAGAAACTCACCTATCGGGATTAGTGGAAGCTACTCTAGTTCAGAAATTTTCCTAAGCAGGTTATGTTAAAAGAGACATGATCCAGTTATAGACTTAACCAATCGTTTTCCCGGTCCAGGGGAACAAGCTGATTGACTTAACTTGGATGTACTGCCATCTTCTTAAAGATAGTAAATGACTACAGTTAGTCTTAGACTGTACTTTGCACTAAACTTCACTTAGTAAAGCTTAAGCTTCATTTCAGCTTTAGCCAAATACACTATAAAGTAAGAACTAAGAACTACCTTAAAACAAGGCAGAAGCATCTCTTAATAATGAGATGGATCAAACCAAACCCAATCTAACTGTTAAAGTTGCTAAACAAAAACTTGATAAGAACAAGATATCTGGGGTGCAGACTGGCTCTAGGAAAGAAATGACCAGTTCTCAGTTTCTGATATAAAAAACTGTTTTGATCTCTGTTCTGGAAAGTTTTCATGTCAACACGCATTTGCAAGTCTCATGGAGTTGGTCCATGCAAAAAGGGTCACAGTTCAACATTCTGGTTGGGGAACTTCTAGTAACTTTAGAATAAAAATGCCACAGTTAATCTGTACTAACAAGGCATTTTGCTGCTTCAAGTTTCAACACACCATTTCTTGACATGAGAACTTGCATGTGTACGTCTTTGCCTTCCTACTGTTAGTCTAGTTTAGCGGTTTTCTTGTTCCTGCTTTTCTACAGAAATGCAGTTTTAATTTTAGATCACTATAACTCCATCTCAATTTCACATCTGTATCTTATGTCGNATATATATAAAGAGATATAAGTGTTCAATGACATCACGTCAATCCATCCTAATCACTACTTAAGAGAATCTTTAGCAAAACCATTAACAGCTTATTAACTGCCTAATTAGCTCAGCCCCTCGATCTCAACCACAAGCCCCTTGTCTGAGAAGGGCCTTAATTCACATGAGTATACAGTATACACCTAGTACATTAACACTAAGGAAATCCAGATCAACTTAAAAGGTAAAGAATGTTCGGGATCTCCAAAAAAGAAATAAAATGTGTTTAGTTAAGGTGATTTTGAAAGTAGTAAATCAAATTTTAAAAGGAAAACAATAAATGGAGGACTAAATCATGATATATATTCAAACAGATCTACATCGAGAGTTTCCTAAAATAGCACCAAATGACCGTTCAAATTAAACTTGTGCAGGAAATGTATACCTTTTGGCGCGTTTAGGATCAATGGTCCAAAGTTCAGCAAGTTTATCTGGAGCCATAGCTTTCTTAGCTTCAATACTCTCACTTAGCAACAAACTCGAACTATCCACAGAATTACTATGCCTATGACGTGGCCTACTGAAACTCTTCTCTCCGTCAGCTACCAGTAGTCCACTACTACTTCCGGCAGCATTGTTGAATCCATCGGTAGGGTTGGATCCGGTGCCGAGTTTCTCAATGTCCATGTAAGTGGAGAAGAAATCGTCCTCGGATCCGATCTCCTCGAAACTCCCGGCCGACGCATCGAATGGGTCGGATACTAGATCTAGATCCTCCGGCAGCCGGAAGTTCACTTCAGAATGAGCTCGCCGGTGGTGAGATGGCCTGAATGTAGCTGAAAATGACGGCGTTTGATTCTTGGAGTTTGGATTTGACGGATCTTGCATTTTGACCCGAACCGAATGCGATATCCTTGGGAGATTCAGACAGTGTAGGAAGAGGAGGAGCTTTTTGCGGTGGATTTAACTAGTACTACTACTACTAGTATACTATTATACTCCCTCCAATCCATGTTACCTCCTTTTCATGCTCAAAAAATATTTACTACTTTAATGATATGTCTAAATTGTCGTTTATCTTTCATTTAATCGTCTTATTTGATTGACACTTCACCAATTAAACATTTAAGAGTAAATTTCATTAAAAAAAAAGTAGGTATTAGATAACTTCTTATTTTTCTAAAACGTCAAACAGCAACAAATGCATAATTTGAGCTATGATTTCAACTGAACCTAATATATGTATTTATGTGTGAAAATTTATTAAAATTTATAATAATTAAGTAACAAATTTAACATATTATTTGAAAAATATAATGAGTTGGTAAAAATCTTGAACTTGGAACCATAAAATTTAAATATTGAATTCACCTCTTGTATGAGGTAAAATTGATAAATGTCAGGTGGATGCTCGTCGAGTTGACGCGTGGCAGTGAAGACAAATAATATATGAGTCAACAAATAGTTGGCATCGATTACCAATATGTGACCGGTGCTGAGTGAGTTGTGAAGATGCTCGCGAAAGTTTGAAAGAATCTTTGTATTTATAATCAACGGTTATGCAGCCATCAAGAGTGACTTTATTCATGTTAAAGAAGAGTTTGATTTGGGATCTTGTCTACCTAAATAGAAAAATTTATACTCATTGTACACACAAAAATATATGTACATAAAAAGACTAAATTTGCTCTTATTCTATTAACAAAATTTTTTTTTTCTATACTATATATTATTCTTATTCTTGCTTCCGGAGAAGCTCATCTGACAGTCAGACTTGTATTTTATTCAAGTTTCTTTACTCAATTTATTTCTATTTTAATTATTTTATATTTTTGGATTAAATTAATTCGCGTGTCTATAAATCACGTTACAAATTCAATTGTACCATTTTACGGATAAACATATCTGGTGTCAAATATTTAACAAATTTAGGTTGTTAAACAACTACTAATATTTGAACATGATGAAGTAACTTGAGAAAAAGTATCAGTATAATTTAGTAAGTTCAATAGATTATTAGTATTTTTGCTTTTTAGAATTAACTCATACTTTAAAGGTGAACAAAGTTGTATTGTAATGTGAAATGATTAATTATAATATAGCATTATTTATTTTATTTTTCAGACTCTATATTAAATTTGAACAATATTTGTTGTTATAATTGTCAATTTCCTTAATGGAATAAAATCTTGACATTGTTATGTAGAGAATACAAATTATTTTCTGCACATCACCAATCAATACTAACTTACAAAAAATGACCTATATTTATTTCTAAACTAGTCTGATTATGCACTTAAACTCGTTAGTTGTAGTCGTTTAGATGGGAGGTGGCGGTTTATTATTACTCCTGGGAGGTGGTGTTAATGTTTGGAGACTTTGGTTTTGACTTTTTGACTGGAAAGATTGAGTTTTACTTTCGGTGAGACGCGGGAGTCTTGTGGACAGATGGGGTCCACTGATAGTCTAATCATTTCGCCGGGATGGGGATCCGTGTGCTTGTCTATGAAAAGGTTACAACAAAGATAATTTTGTTGAGCTCATAAAGTCTGGTGGAATACGGATAAGGAATTGGATCCACTAAAGAGTTACGTAGATCTAGTGCTTACCGTAAAATTGGTGGAGGCCGGTCAGTTTTGGGACCGCTAATTTAGCTGTCGTTTGAATAAATATTTTTTTGTTAGAAACTTGAAAATAGAATTTGAAGTTGTGTTGAAAAATAATTTTAAAAGTTGAAGTTGTATTGGATATATATTTTACTTAAAAAAATATTAAAATTTTGCGTCCCAGACCAATTTTTGGAACTTAAAAATATTTCTTTAATTTTTATTTTATTTTTTTAAAAACTGATCAAATTCTATGAACAAAGAATATTTAAATTTTTTCGAAAAAAAGTAAAAAAAATCTATGTCCACAAGGGAGCTAAGTATTTAGTTACCATTTGAAGTTTAATGAAAAAAATAGTCTATTTTCAGTTACAAAAAACTTTCTGGCCTTCTCTTTCATTTAAATGTAAATCTTAATCATCTCTTCAGACCTTGCGCAAAGATAATTCTAATTTTTGGGTGTATCAAAAGTTCAAGAAGTAATGATTCCATTAAATATTTAACTTCCACTAGTCAGAAAAAACAATGCCATCATATTCTAATTCATTGAAAGTTTAATGTGCACAATCAAATAATATAACTAAAATTGTAATAACACAATAGTACAGGGACCTTATGTAGGTTTACCTTACAATGTAATTAAAATTTAGTTACATCTCATAAAGAAAAATATATATAAAGTTATGAATTGCTTAATAACTAATTATTATTGTTACAAATTTATTGACTATTAATTAATTTTGAGATGAGCTTAATTTATTTTAATAATTATCAAATATTTGATAAAGAACCAGGTTACCTAAAGTGTGTTGATTAAAAGTTGAAGATTGTTTCTAATGCAAGTTGGTTTAAACATTCTTGTTGATAATTGAAAAGATATTGTTCGTGGGCTACAAGGAAATACTAGCTAAAGGAACTTGTGTTCAACAAGGAGTTATCAATTATGAAAATACTTGCATGGAAAGGAAAACGCGTGAAGGAGATTTTAAGGAAACAAAATAGAATCCTTTTAGGATTTATTTTTCTTAAGAGGTGACCGAATTATTTGAGGTCTTGGAGCTAAAATTGAAAAAGAATTTGGCCTACCTCACTCTTATATAAAGCATCATATTACTGCTATTGAAGGCTATTGCTAATTCTCACAATCACAGAATTTGTTTAAGGCTAATAGCAATCATACCAAGAAGATGCTTTTAGAGATTCAAGTTGCTCTACTGAAGAACCAGGTCCAAAATAAAGTTACTCAAGTTCTTTAATTATTTTAGGTTTGAGTAAGTTGTTCTTTAATTTAAACCTATATTGATTATTGAGAAATGTAATCATGGGTAAATAAATTTGAAGAGTTTGTTTTGCTAGATATAGTCTCGAAAGGGGTAGCTGCCATTGAGTTAATTGTAGGGTTAAGCTACTAGAGTTAGCCCATTTGATTATAACAACAACAAACTTAGTATAATCCTATACGTAGGATCTGGGGAGGGTAATGTGTACGCAAACCTTACCCTTACCTTATGAGATAGAAAATAGTCGTTTGGATTCGCTGATTTCAGAAGGTAAAAGGATGGTTTCAAGCTCGATTTGTGACCTTGCACAAATTTGTGCAAGGTCTGTGACTAGTTTTGATCTGGTGAGTTGAGAGAATAGAGAGAGGAAAGGGAAATGAGGGCGGTGGTCAAAGGGGGATATGATTTAGGGTTGAGGGTAATTGGGGTCGGTCTATGGGATTAAGAACGAGGGAAGGGATCTGGGCCATTGGATCATTAGATCAACGGTCCTGATAAATCAGGAATTAAAAGGTTAAATAATATTTTTATGATAAAATACAGGAACTGTTGGGATCCAACGATGGTGGTAATATCCAGTGGGAGATTAAAATTAAAAGAGAAAATAGGGATAAACGTGGATCGTTGATGGCTTGGATCGACGACTCAGATTGCTTGTGTTTGTTGTGTGAGTGATCGACGACTCAGATTGCTTATGTAATGTATATAAAGGTTATTTTAATAATCTTAAAATTGTAAGTATGATATATTTTTTAATTATATAATACTAAATTATTAATTTCAACACTATTAATTACTCATTTTATGAAAAATAGGCATTATTGACTAGAAAATATTTTCAACACATTTATTGCAAATCATTAAGTATAAATAAATTATTTTTAAAAGAGAGGGTCAAAATTGGTCGTCAACAGCATATAATAGCAAAGAAACTAGGAATACGAAGCTATAAGAGAAGTGCGAAAACTACCGGCAATAATGCCACATCGTCTAACAACAAGGAACTCGGAATAGGAGAATAAAAGACTAGTACTACTACTACTAGTACGACTAGAAGAGACTCCCGACTACCTGTCAACCTACAACCCTAATCCTCGACCTCCACACCTCCCTAGCAAAGGTCATGTCCTCGGTAAGCTGAATTAGTGCCATGTCCTGCCTAATCACCTCTCCCCAGTACTTCTTAGGCCTCCCTTTACCTCTCATCTGACCCACTATGGTCAACCTCTCGCATCTCCTCATCGGGACATCAGTGTCTCTCCTCTTCACATGCCCGAACCATCTCAGCCTCGATTCCCGCAACTTGTCTTTCACAGGGGCCACACCCACCTTGTCCCTAATAACTTCATTCCGAATTCGGTCCTTCCTGGTATGCCCACACATCTATCTTAACATCTTCATCTCCGCTACTTTCATCTTCTGGACATGAGATTTCTTGACTGGCCAACACTCGGCTCCATACAATATAGTCGGCCTAACTACCACATTGTAAAACTTACCCTTAATTCTTGGTGGCACATTCCTATCACACAAAATACCATTTCATCCACCTCGCTCCAACACGATGCGTAACATACTCATCAATCTCCTCGTTCCCCTGAATAACATACCCGAGATATTTGAAACTATCTCTCTTGGGGATTACTTGTGTTTCAAGCTTCACCTACACTTCTGTTTTTTGCATCCCCATACTGAACTTGCACTCCTAGTATTCAGTTTTTGTTCTACTAAATTTGAAACCTTTAGACTCCAGGGTTTGCCTCCATAGCTACAGTCGATTGTTAACCCTGCAGCGCATCTCATCGATTACCACTATGTCATCTGTTAATAACATACACCATGGAACCTCCCCCTGAATATGGAGCGTCAGCATGTCCATCGCCAGGGGAAAATAAAAATGGGTAAGAGAAGAACCCTGATGTAATCCCATCATCACAGGAAAGTAGTCTGAGTCTCCTCCCACAGTCCTCACCCGAGTCTTCACTCCATCGTACATATCCTTAATCACCCTAATGTATGCTACCGGAACATCACTAACCTCCAGGCATCTCCATAGAACCTCCCTTGGGACTTTATCGTAAGCTTTTTCTAAATTGATGAACACCATATGCAGGTCCCTCTTCCTCTCTCGATACTGCTCCATCAACCTCCTAACAAGATGAATAGCTTCTGTGGTCGAACGCCCCAACATCCGAACCGATTCTCTAAAATAGACACACTCCTCCCCACCCTCCTCTCAACCACCCTCTCCCACACTTTCATAGTGTGATTCAGTAACTTAATACCCCTATAGTTACAAATTTGGATATTACCCTTGTTCTTGTATAACGGGACCATCAAAGTCCATCTCCATTCTTCGGGCATCTTCTTAGTCATAAAAATGACGTTAAACTGTCCAGTAAGCCACTCCAAGCCTACCCGGCCCACAACCTTCCATAATTCTACCAGGATCTCGTTTGGTCTAGTCGCCCTACCTCTACTTATCTTCCGTATTACCTCCTCAACCTGCTCAATCTTAATATGCCTACGAAACCTAAAATAACGTTGGTTCTTTGATATCTCCAACTCGCCAAGCACAATGTTCCTGTCCCCATCCTCGTTCAAGATTTTGTGGAAGTATGACTGCCACCTGCGCCTAATGCACGCCTCTTCCACCAATACCTTGCCATCCTCGTCGTTGATGCACCTCACTTGGTCCAGGTCCCGAGCCTTCCTCTCTCGAACCTTGGCTAAACTGAACAGTCTCTTATCATCGCCTCTACCCCCAAGTTCCGCATACATGCGTTCAAATGTTGCGGTCTTAGACGCCGTGACCGCTAACTTTGCCTCTTTCTTAGCCTTCTTATAACACTCCCTAAGCGTCCTCTTTTCCTCTTCGTCGGCATTCTCCACTAGCTTCATATATGCCACTTTATTGGCTTCTACTTTACCTTGTACCTCTCCAATCCACCACCATTCACCTTTGTGGCCCCTGGAAAAACCCTTCGTGACCCTTAACACCGCTCTAGAAGCTTCCCTAATGCAATTCGTTGTCGAGGTCCACATACTACTCGCGTCCCCGCAACTCCTCCAAACCCCCATATCTAACAACTTCTCCCCCAATGCCTGAGCTTTGTCCTCAATCAAGGCACCCCACTTGATCTTAGGTTGACCAAATACTGCTCTCTTCTTCTTCTTCTTTTCCCTCTTAATCTCCAAGTCCATAACCAAGATCTTATGTTGTGTTGAAAGACACTCACTCGGAATAACCTTGCAATTAGTGCATAGGCCTCTATCCCTCTTCCTGCAGAGTAGTAATCAATCTAAATCCTGGCCACCACGCTCCGGAATGTGACCAAGTGGTCCTCCCTCTTCTGAAAACACGAGTTAGCTAGCACCAAATCAAAGGCTCTAGCAAAATCTAGCACCGAAGAGCCACCTTCATTCCTAACCCCAAAAATTGAACCCGCCATGCACATCATCATAGCCCCTAGACGTCTCCCCAATATGGACATTAAAATCACCTCCTATGAAAATCTTGTCGGTGTGCAGAATACCACTCACCACCTCATCTAAATCCTCCCAGTGTTGCCTCTTGACCTCCTCTCCCAAGCCCACTTGCGGTGCGTATGCACTAACTATGCTTAAAGTGAGACCACCTACCACTAGCTTAATATCCATCAATTTATCATTCACCCTCTTAACATCAACCACCAGCTCCCTAAGATCCCTGTCTACTATGATACCTACCTCGTTCTTACCCCTAGTACCCCCAGCACCCCTTGAGTACCACAGTTTATACCCATCAACCTCATGTGTCCTAGTACCTACCTATCTAGTCTCCTGGACACATGCTATATTGATCCTCCTCTTTTGGAGAATCTTCCCTAGTTCTATAGACTTCCCTGTCAATGTCCCTATATTCCAGGACCCAACACGCAGTCTAGCGGAGCCCTTACCCCTCTTACAACCTTTGCCCCCGGCCCCTACCCCACTCGAGGACATGACCTCACTCTGCCATCACTCACACCAGTCACTCTTATCTAACGGATACTATGCTAGCACCACTACAACCCGCGGCAAGATAAACTACGTAAGAGATAAAGTCTACTATACAAGACCCTAGTTACAGAAAAGGAAATCAAAGAAAGTCTAAATGTAAACAAACACAACTAAAGAATGGCAAGTTAAATTAGAAGCAAAAGTCTAAGGAAAAATAATGGAGTGGTAGGAAAAAACTAGCAAGAACAAATATGAATTACCAAAGGCAAGAACGACAGAACCTGGATTAGTGCCGAGGATGCCAAGAAGCTGCCGAATAGAGGTGAAGACCTATGCTGCCAAAGCTAATAAAACCACCAGTAGTACACACCAGAGAGACTGTCGGGCTACTGCTTAACCCACGCCCGCATGAAGAGGTAAAAGAGAAAGAAAAGAAGAAAAAAAAAGAGAGAGAAAGAAGCGGAGAATGAAAGAGAAACTAAAAGAAAGAAAAAAGTAAAGAATGGGGGCACTGGATGGTAGCGGCAAGCAAACTTGCCGGAATCCAGCCAGAGAGGCGTGAGAGAAGGAAGAGCATAAGAAAGGGATCGAGAAGGGTAGATGCCGCCTGGTCGGAGGCCCACCGACATCAATTGCTACCAGAAAAATGGGGGGAGGGAAGATAGAGGAGACGGGTAGAGAGATAAAGAAAAGGGAAGAAGAAGGAAAGAAAGAGAAGGAGCAAGAGGACTTACCTGTGTACGCCGGCGACTCGAAGGCGACGGCGAATGCGACGACGATGGAGGTAAGGCACTGGTGGAGTTAAATTAGGGCTTTAACTGTTAGAGAGATAGAGAGAGAGAGAGAGAGAACCGTTCAATTAGTCCATTTGATTATTGAGTTATAACCTTAAACCGCTCTTTGAAATTAGCAAAGTATTAAGACAAATCCTACGAGGGTAGGTCGTGGTTTTTACTCCCTAGAGTAAGGAGGTTTTCCACGTAAAATTACTTGTTTACTTTTTTTTTTGCACTTCAATTTTAGTTTTTTGTCAGAATAGTCAAGTCAAAGAACCAAGTAAAAATCGGGCAAGACATAATTCACCCCATCCCTCTTATGTCTAGGTGCGTCTTAAAATAACAATTAGTATCAGAGCAAGTTTTTTTAAGAAAGATTAATACCTAAAAGGATCCAAGATGGTTGCACCTCCTGGCGCTCAAAAAGATCAATCACAACAGGTCTATATTGTTCAACGAAAAATACTATGGATGGTGAAAAGAAAGAATGCATAATTTTCTGAAAAGAGAAGATTTAGAACTCTATGACATAGTTCAGAGAGGTCCAAAATTTCCCATGGCAAAAGATGATAATGGAATAGGTACTGGCCCTAAAATCAGAGAGCATTATAATGAGAAGATATCAAGGCTATTCAGAAGAATTCCAAAGCTAAGAACATTTTAATTTGTGGCATCAGACCTGAGAGTATGAGCGAATTTCTACATGCACTAATACTAAGTAGATTTGGGATACATTATAGACTGCACATGATGGTAAGAACTAGGTCAAACACTCAAAGATTGATATTCTCACAAGGCAGTATGAACTATTTAAGATGAAGGGAAACTATCAAAGATATGCATACCAGGTTCATACATATTACTAATAAGTTAATCTCTCTTGGAGAAATTATCCTTATAAATAAAATCATAAGAAAGATTCTAAGTAGATTGACCGCCTCTTAGGAAAACAAGGTTAATGCTATATCAGAAGTTAGGCATCTTGGCACAATGACCATTGATGATCTTATTGGAAATTAAAAATTTATGAATTGACTAAGTTTCAAGATAGCCAGATAGCAGAGCCCACTTGGAAAGAACCTAATTTTCAAGGCTACTGAAAAACCAAAAACCGATGATGATGAGATGACACTGCTGATATGTAAGTTCCAAAAGATGATCAGAAAAGATGGATTCAATAGGAAGGGTAGCAAATCAAAAACTAAGGCTCCGGAAAAGAGCAATATTAATGAGTGCTACAAGTGTGGAAGTGACGATAACATTAGTAGGAGTTATCCAATGTGGGTAATTGAGTAAAAGAAAAATAATTCTAATAAAGTAAAAGAGTAGAAAAAAGGACCGGGTTCCTGAAAAATGATAACAAAGAAGAGAGCAGATAAGATTGTTAAAAGGACTATGGCTGTTACGAGAAACATCACCAGTGATGACTCTGATGATAGTAATGATGAAGATCAGTCCTTGATGGCGAAGAATGAATCTGACTCAATGAAAACATTCTTTCTTTGATAGCCAATGATGAATATGACTCAGACAACAAATACACTCTTGGCTCAATGGCCAACTCGGATTCAGATGCGAAAAATACACAAACTGAGATAAATTTTCATGATATTAAAGTAAATATTCATACTTATTCTAAAAGAAACTATTTTCGTTGTCTAAGGTCTTGATTGATGCATATCATAGTCTCTGTGCTGAAAAGGAACAATTTATAAAAATAATATGCCTCTCTTAAGTTTGACAACAAGGACCTAAAAATAAGTAAGAAAAACCTGAAAAGCACTGTTGAATAAATAAAGGACCGGGTTCTCACTCTAGGTAATTAAAAATCAATTTTGATGATTGAAAATAAATTGCTTCTTGATGCACATGCTAAGAAATAGAGTCATGCTAGTGAAATTCAGGAAAACCTAAAGAACAAATTGAAAAGAGTTAAATGTAATCTCTCAGTTGAATGTGAAAAAATGGGATAATTTAAGAAAATTCAAATATGACTAAGTATGAACTAAAAAGAACTTTGTAGTGGAATAGGTCCTCAGAAATGTTAACCACTTTATATGAAAATCACAGTAGCAATAGAAAAGGACCAGGACATAAAAAGTCAAGACCCCGTATAATCCCAAAAGCAATTATATTTTTATTATTGAAAATCATTTGGTGCACATATTGTGATAACAATGGGCACTTCAAAGACTCATGCACTACTAAATTTAAAGCAATTTAAAAGAATTATGAACATGTTGAGAAAAGGAAAGTTGAAAAATCTAGTTCTTCTTTGAAAAATTAAAAAATATCAGGATGGGCTAAAAAATTGATTTATCCTTTTACCTAAAGAAAGAGACCCAAGCTAGTCTGGGTTCCTAAAACTAACTCCTGAATTATTTTGCAAGCTAAGGTAAGAAAGCAAGAACATGTGATACATGGATAATGCTTGCTCTAGCCACAACAACAAAAATAATGTCACGATCCGAAATCTCAACCACGGGACTGTAATGGCGCCTAACATCCACTTGTTAGGCAAGCCAACATTAGCCAAAGAATTAACCAGTTTGACAATTTAAAATCAAGGTATTAAGAGTTAAAGACTCAAATACTCTGAATACATATAACAAATCCATAAGTAACACTGTCTATGCTAATCCCAAATATCCAGAGTCACAAGTACATGAGCGACTAGAATACTACAGAAATAGTCTGAAATAAAATACATATGTTTGAAACAAGATAAACAGTAAAACAAGATAAGAAGGGGACTTTAGGGATTGCAAACGTCGTGCATCTGTACCTCATATTTCCTGGATAGATCTGATCTGAGCAATCTCCTCTATGCGCCGCTAGGACTGTCATGACCCAAAATTTCACCACAGGCGTCGTGATGGCACTTAGTCTCTAAGACTAGGTAAGCCGATTACAATAACAACTTAAGCCTTTTTATACAAAGATAATTTGCAATGGTGTTTAATACAAGTATCGACAAAAGCGAAAATAAGCCTACGCGGTAATAATCATAACAACCTCCCAAGACGGGTAATTCAGAGTCACAAATTCTAACTGAAAATATAGAAAGATCTCAGAAATTAAAATACGATATTGTTCATATATAAATGACAATACAAGAAAGAAAAAGACTCCAAGGGACTGCGACGACCAGGCAGCTCTATCTCGAATCCTTGCGATCAACAAATCTAACTCTGCCTGAGTCCGATATCTCCAATACCTGGCTCTCCAAAACAATATGCAGAAGTATAGTATGAGTACACCACAGTCGATAGCCAGTAAGTATCAAGACTAATCTCAGTGGAGTAGTGACGAGGTACAGTCAAGACACTCACTAGTCAAATAACCTGTGCAATATAACAGTATATGACTAATAATGGAAAGCAGGAATTAGTAAATAGCAACAAATCCAACAAGTGCATATAGGAAGTAAAGCAATGATAATACCGG